TTCTTGTTTGGCGACACCCCGTTTAACATGTTGTTCTTGTAGTATGACCATGGTTGTAGATTTACAGTTCTGTTACTTCACACAAACGTCTTAACTGTCTTAGAACATTCAGTATATCAGTATATCAGCCAGGTCCATGGCTTGTCCGGCTTTCACAGTAGCCTTACCTGCAAGACTATCAGCATGCTTATTCCTTTGTACCCCTACAAAAACATGTTTTTAAGCAGTATATGAAAAAAGGGGCTCCCTACTATTAACGGGGGAAAATTAAGATGGGGATATCATGAATACAGCTATCTGATTATAACCACAATTCTCACACAATTAACGACCCCAATTATAACCTTTTTTGAGGCTAAACGGGCTAATCTTTGTAGCTTACACAGTGGAAGAAGAACAGAACGGGCCACCAGAGTTTGGAGCGTTTGAACCCAACCAAGAGGAAGAATATTCTAGAAAGCTTGCGTTCACATATACCCGTGATTAACGCGACTATCCTTAGGTGAGACAACCAAAGATAAACTGACGCCAAACGTAATTAATCACTGCCTCTAAATTACGTCCGGCCCAAAATTAAGGAGTTGGCATTTTAACTTTAAGTGGTCTAGTAGATAAATCTGCCGCCGACTTCATAAACCCGCACTTGTGTGTGACATCAATACCACATAGACGATATTGACCGTCGGATCAGCCGGCGTGTCTATCACCTGCATTTACACCTGTTTCACAGGTAATCTACAGGTGGATTACTTCTGCAGTGCTAGTGCTGGGTGGTACGGAGCCTGCGCGTGATTTCCTGTATCAGAGTGTAATCTCTTTCTTCACTTTCAGCGGCTGTAAAACTCTGGCGAAAAGTTCTGGTTTTCCCCTCCACTTTTGATTTTAGTCTCGTTCTAGAATTGAATGTTGCGTGCATCTCGGTTTTACAGATCTGATTTATTAAGGCTGTGTTTTCTCGCCTTTCTGTCAGATGCACTCCGACTTCGAAGGAAATACCCGTAATTAGTCTAACGTCTTGGTCTTGGTGTAGGTAAAAAAAAATATCGCGCTTCTTTTAACTGGCTCCTGGATTGAGCTGTGGTTATTTCGAAGACTGCGTGTTTCTGCTTATAATACCTGGAAAATTTGATTTTTACGACATGCTTAGCAATTAAACAATGGGTCTATCCTTCCTCATTCCCCTGACGTGTGGCACTGTAACCTAAATGACGAGCCAAGGTCTGCGAGCGAGATAGTGGCGGAGCAGTTGTTGAAGAGAGGAGCGGTTAGAATGCTGGGCTCTCAAGCGGGCGATCCGAGTTCGAATCCTCAGTAAGGTTGGAATTTTTTTTCTGTCGAGGGCAAAATAAAAATTCTGACCTGCACAGTCGTGGCGACAGCACTAGCCATGCGGCGGTGATTCCTCGGGTTTCAACACCCACCCAAACCCCCTCCCCCAACCGACTACACCGCAAAAAGTTTTTTTTTTTTTTGGGGGGGGGGGGGGGAGGGGCAGTTGTCCGAGAAAGCCCTTTCCATCCCAACTGTTCCCCGTGTTGGTTTGAGGTCCCATTGTAGGAGAAACAGGAATAGACCCACTGCCTCCAGAATAAACATGTCGTAAGAGTCGACTAATCGGGTGGTTTTCTTTAAAATCGGAGTGCATCTGCCTGGGAGACAATGAACGAGCAGTCTGCATGCAGATAAGCAAGATCTATAAAACGGATGTGCACGCAACACTCCGGTTCTGAAACAACACTATATTCCAGATTTGGGCGAAAAACCAGATCTTTCCGCAAGTTTACAGCCAATGAACTTGAAGAAGAAGAAGGTAAAGAAGAAGAAGCAATTAAATAACATTAAAAACTGTTTAAGCCTTTTGTTTAAAATGACACTCGTATCATTAGATAATTTGCGAGATGACGGAGGTATGAGAGACTGTCTATGACCCTACAAAAGACTCAATGCTCCACTAACTGGATACTGATACAAGTTTTTCTTTGATATTTTGTGTCAAAGTTCGCTCTTTTGGATATAATTCAACCTGCCAACCCACTGTGTCACAACATCTTACTTCTAACAGAAGTGTAACGGAAGATGGAAGCTAGCAGGCCGGCATAGGCGATTAGCTAATGACTGTGAGGTGGACTGTGCTGCTCCACTGGAGTCTCTTAAATCTTGATTGCTGGTTTATGACTGTAAACATTGGACTATCTAGTTTTATGATCTTTTTGTTACCGCAGCGGGGATGTCAACATCTTCGTCGCCACAGCCAGCTGTACTTAAGGGAGTTGTATTGTTGCTGGAACTGGGCCGGTCTGTTTCATTCAACAAACAGATTTGTGTCCCCTGGACGTTTAACGGGTTTATAGAAAAAAGAAGAAAGAAGCGTCGAGCGAGATAGGTGAGGGGCTGAATTGATTACGTTTGACTGGAACATTTAGGTGATGTGGCGTGATGGACGTAGAAATGTGAGTGACCTGTGGGAAATGTGACTGTGGGAACTTCTTGCGGCACTGCTATCACTTTTATGGCTTGCTGTTTCAAGTAGTATTCCGTAACCGGAAGTATGCATAAGTTAAAAATCTACCTAAAGTATTTCAGGATCCTCGTCTGTGCTACAAGGCTTGTGCACTGTGCTGAGCTTCTTCGAACTCAGACTTTAGTTAGAAGATGAACGCAGCACTTATGGGTTACTATCCGTGTGCCATGATGTTGATCCGTTGTTCAAACTGCAAACTGTAAGCATGAGTAAATGAATCAAACAGCACATCCTTTAGAGAATCTGGTTCTCTTCACGGCACACCTCGAAGTTAATCAACACTAGCCAATTCTCTAGCCCTGTGTGCTTTCATAGCCCATGCATCTTGAATGTCTTGTATCCACATTCGCGGAGGTCGACCTCTGCCTTGTTTTTTGGAAATTGACCCCCCCCCCCCCCCCAGACCCCGCCCCATCATTGTTCTCAAGAGCACCAATTGGTTTGACGTGTCCAAAATATCTGTTTTAGGGAGAGGAAGCTGTGTGTGAGTCCTTTTCCACGCCCACAGGCATATTGGGCATATATGGCTAGACCTAAATGTCATAGACTACTCGGAACTTGGTGGGTGATGTGGTCAGCATCACGTCATCTGCCTTTACTTCACAGGACCTGACCTGGTACACACTCCAAGCTTCGTCGACCTGTAAACCGAAGTAATATTCTTATGAAATAAAAAAAAAATAAAAAGCCCTGACTCCGACAGGATCCGAACCCACGGTCCGTTGATCCGCGGGTGAGCATCTAGCCATTACACTACGGTGGCCTTCTCGTGTATGTATATATATGTACACACATATAATATGTATGCATGTATGTATGTATATATATGTACACACATATAATATGTATGCATGTATGTATGTATATATATGTACACACATATAATATGTATGCATGTATGTATGTATATATATGTACACACATATAATATGTATGCATGTATGTATGTATATATATGTACACACATATAATATGTATGCATGTATGTATGTATATATATGTACACACATATAATATGTATGTATGTATATATATGTACACACATATAATATGTATGCATGTATGTATGTATATATATGTACACACATATAATATGTATGCATGTATGTATGTATATATATGTACACACATATAATATGTATGCATGTATGTATGTATATATATGTACACACATATATATGTATGCATGTATGTATGTATATATATGTACACACATATAATATGTATGCATGTATGTATGTATATATATATATATATATATATATATATATATATATATATATATATATATATATATATATATATATATATACAACTACTTCAAGTCACAAACTAAGAAACTCTAGATAGTGTGTATACATAAACACACACACACACACATATATATATATCTTTGTTTGTGACTTGAAGTAGTTGTATTTTAATTTAACGTGCTAATGTTGCCTATTTAAGATGTATAGAGTCGCAGGTCGCTGTCTTTATAAAATGGGGTAGGGACTCGGAAAATTTTGACAACCGTAGATATATCCATACACCATCATCTTATCTCATCTTGACCCTCTTGTACCTTGCGGTGTCCAGGTGAAGTAGAATTTACTAGAAAGCGCCGGGTTGTGCGCTTCCTAAATGGAGATTTCCAGGGACCATGTTATTCCTTCTGTCCATTGTTTGTATGGTTGACCTCTTTATACTTCTGTTTCTTCGAGCGGTGAAAGTCATCCCCTGCTGACTTGCTGGGCCAGTCGCAGATTGAGGACAGAAACAACTAACCTAGTTCAGGATCCTCGCGGGTGTAACAGAGTTCGTGCACTGCGCTGAGATTCTTGAGACCCGGGCTTGAAGAAGAAGGAGATAAACGGAGCTCTTATGGGTGACATCCGTGTGCCATGATGTTGATCCGTTGAAGAAAACATAAAACTAACCTAGATGAGTCCATCCACCTAGGCGAGACAGAACCCCGTTGGCCCGCGACCTCACTGTTTCCCTGTAGACACCACTGGGAGGTGGGGTTCACCTGTGTGGATACTACTTTTCGCTTTCCACCCCTCTAGAGAGACGAGCCGATCTCAACCCTCCTGGCTGCAGAGCCAGGCGTATGCAACAGAGAAGTAGCTAAAGGACCACCTTTCGGCCTGAATGTCTTGGGTTAGAATCTGCATCCATTCCTCGTGTGGGTTCTGGGAAATGAATAGACCCAGTGCACCCTAACAAGGCTGTCGTAAGAGTCGACTAAAAAGGGGTGCTTCCTTCGAAGTCGGTAGTGATCGTAGTAGTGGTGATGATGGTGATGATAATAACGGTAGTGGTGTTTGGCGAAAACCAATGTTGGCCACGATGATAGTCGTGATCACGATGAAGATAGTGGTGATGATTTACCCACCAAAATGGCAGCTGAGATTTAGATGTAACGTAATTACCTGACTGGCTTTTTTTTTTCAAATGACCTTGACCTGATAAGGTCACGTGTCTATGTTTCCAGGCAAGACTCGAACCAAGGACAAATACAGGGTGGTGTACTCGGACCATCAGCGCCTGGAGCTGGAGAAGGAGTTCCACTTCAGCAAATACATCACCATCCGCAGGAAGGCAGAGATCGCTTCTCAACTAGGACTCTCAGAAAGACAGGTTTGTGCGTCTTGTGTCATCTCTTAGTGATTAGTTAGTTAGTTAGTTGCATATCCTTTACAGGACGTTGCAGAACCAACCCCAGCAGCCCCTGGCTGTTGTGTGGTTTCTCTAGGCAAATTTACGTCCAGTAGTTTGCCATTGCCTTCTGGACGGTCAGCACCCTGATACCAGTGTCGAAACCAACAAAGGGCGCATGGCCCCGGAGCTGGGATCGAACCCGGCACCCCGGCATTGCGAAGCGTTCGCATCGGATTTAGCCACAGAGCCGACTTTAAGTGACTAGGTAATCCAATCTATTTACCCCACTAGTGGTTTCCGAGGCCCTTATAGGGGTGGCGGAGGGGGTGGGGGTACTGCATCTTATCAAGTATGTTGTATAAGGTGTCTAATTAAGCATGTTCCTGTAAAGTCGGAGTGTATATTTCAGCCATTATCTTCCCAATCAATACCTGTATCATTTATGTCCAGCTTTTACACATTTTACATCCATGGTTTCTTCTTCTTCTTCTTCTTCTTCTTCTTCTTCTTCTTCTTCTTCTTCTTCTTCTTCTTCTTCTTCTTCTTCTTCTTCTTCTTCTTCTTCTTCTTCTTTCTTCTTCTCTTCTTCTTCTTCTTCTTCTCTCTTCTTCTTCTTCTTCTTCTTCTTCTTCTTCTTCTTCTTCTTCTTCTTCTTCTTCTTCTTCTTCTTCTTCTTCTTCTTCTTCTTCTTCTTCTTCTTCTTCTTCTTCTTCTTCTTCTTCTTCTTCTTCTTCTTCTTCTTCTTCTTCTTCTTCTACCTTTTGCTCCTCATCCTCAGTCTGTATCCCTCGGTAAAGCATTGTCCCTCTACCAACTCACGCGAAGTCGTTCTAGGCTTGGCTATTGCATGCAGCTCAACACATGACCCCTGGATCTTTTAACTACACTCTCTAGCCCTGGCCTCAATTTCGAAAGGGGAGGAGTTGTCTGCCTTGATTTATATGCCCTTGTGGGTTCCAGTTTAAAGACCCTCGAGTTATATAGCCCTAATGTTATACTTGTCCCAGCGTGTTGTCTCCTAAGTGGGTTTTGTGTGTGTCTGTTGGGGGGAAGGGGGGGGGGGTTATAATTTTGTTGTTGGTTGTTGTACATTACGCAGAAATAACATTAATAATAATGAATGTTAGTATTTGTTTTTATTATTATTATTATGCGATTAAATCAGGCTCTTTCCCTCTCCGATGCAAAAAAAAGTGTTTTGGATGAGGTGTGAGCCCATCTGGCCTCAGTAAGCTTTTATCTTCTACTCTTTTTTTTCCACTTCCTTTTTTACCGCATCGGGTGTCGATGGAGATATAACGTGGGCGATATTCTCCTTGTGTGTGTGTGTGTGTGTGTGTGTGTGTTTATGTCATGTATGTTATGCGTTGCAGGAATTCTCTCTAATTGGGCAAACAATTTGATATGCTGCCTTTCTTAGCAATTTAGAATTCTTTCTGTGCTAAATTTGTTCTCCTTCTGTCTCTCATTCCTAATTGTATCTCTTTAGGTATATCCTGCAGCGCTGTCAAATTAACCAAATTAACAGTGATGTTAAATAAAACAGACTCAATAAAAAGATCAGTAAATTGTATTTTCTTTTCCTTTTGCATTAGGTAAAAATATGGTTCCAGAACAGACGAGCGAAAGAAAGAAAGCAAAACAAGAAGCGAGAGGAACAAGTGGGCATACATCAACATGGCGCTAGTGGCAGCAACAACTCCGACCTCCAACAACATCTACAACATTCCTCCAATCACGACCCACTTCCACACCCATTCATTCCAAAAATAGAATTGGATGAAGATAAGAGCAGCATGCACGATCTGAACTCTCACACGACTCATGCTCAAATGGCAGGGCTACAATCTCATTCAGCCACGCCCACGTCGATTGTTCTGCACCCGAGTCTTCACCATTCACCAAATATGGTAATGTCACCAATAATTATGAGCCGTGGCCACGCCCATCCGGCAGTTGGACGCTACCATGACAACGTGCAAACAACGACCATGTCTCCGGGCCACGATGAAATCGCCTATAGAATGACGGCAAATGCTGAAAGCAATGGCAATAACATGAATTTATCCGGGTCATCAGACAGCGGTGTCATGTCCACTCACTGATCACGTGAGGCTAGTAGATGTATTTTCAAGGGTTCTCAAACAATATTTTAATTGTGATCGTTAAATCAGAGAGAATAATATTCCATGATTAAGGATGCTTTCTAGCTAAAAGGCATCACTATGACAGGCTCACAAGGACAGGTCAATACAGAAAAAAAAATCGCTTAAAATTTTACCGTTACAACGGAAAATGTGGAAGGGCAGAAAGTCAGGAGTAGACCAAGATAGCGAATTCTGCACAATTTAGCATATTCTTAATGTCCTGGGACTTCCTGGGGGACCCAGTTTCAAAAAGGTACAACGAAATATCATGGGGAGCAAAGGCAGCCAGTGTGGTGTTGACCTTATCACGTATCAAATGTCTATTCTTTCCTTCCACGGTATCTGTGCCTCAGGTATTGCAGTTGAACATATGACAGGTAACCGAGCCAAGGCGCGATCGGTTGCATGGTTTGCTATGGTGTTGTGAAGACCTAGGCTTTTAGTGACTAACTCGCTCTATCTTATTTTCTTCCAGCTCCCCCTCTGCTTCTTGAAGTAATAACGAACCACTGACCTAAAACTGCTAAACAAAACAACGTAACAGCTAATAACTGCTGGGGATGTCCTATGAAGACCCTAAGACTTTATGCACAGAATTTCTAACGCTTTTAACTTTGATCTTATAAACTTACACAATGCACATAATTTTTAACGTGTTTTTTTTTTTTTTTTTTTTACAGAAAATACAAGTATTAAACTTTTAACACAATCAGTCGCACACCGTCCCATTGTGGGCAAAAACAAGAATAGACCCACTGTCCCCCCAATAAGCATGTCGTAGGAGTCGACTAACTGGGAGCTACCTTCGAAGTCGCAGTGTATCTGCGCGAGCGGCAAGGAACAACTGCGCACAAATAAGCTAGTAAAACGGATGTACACACAAAACTCAGGCCCTGGCATAAAGTCAAAGTCCGAATGGGCGAACAATCAGGACTTTCCAGCTGAGCGTAAGGCCGGTGAACAAAGAGAAAGGAGAAGTCCCAGACCATCACATCATGTATGATTAGCTACTGAACATGTCCCAAACAATTGTATATGGTAAACATTCGTCCCGTTATGTTTAAATTCAACATAGTATATTTTATGATATTTGTGTCTTTGTTTGGTTGTGTTTGTTGATCACTGGAATGGTCTGTGACAAAGAGGGACAGGGGAAAGCAACACGAAACAATTCTTAACAGCCTTTTGTCTTGGCATTTTGGAGTGTCAAGACGCGAACTGATTCATGTTGTTAAAGATCGCGGATTGTGGACAAGCATCATCGCCCACGGCAGTCGGCAAGGCACTTAATAGTGATGCTGATATTTTAGGTTCCAAATTAAATGCTGCCATTCTGAACATTCCTGGCGACCCCTGCCGCCAATTGGCTCGCCGGTAGACAACTTCCTCGCCAATCGGGAACAGTATTTGGGCCTGTGTCCTCTGATGGCATTAACACTGCATGAGTCCATCTCAAAGCTTTTGATGGCGTGCAATGCTAACCCATTTTATGTGGCGCACATAAACTGGTCACAATTATAACCTAATGAACCCCCATTAGTGATGGTGGTTGAACGTTACGACTTTTGTTTCTTCGAGCAAAGCCCAACCACCACACCCCCGTGAAAGTAATGCGATTTTGCATTTTTCCTTCTAGCTCGTGAGGCATCTCCGATGAATTCTTATGGCACTACAAAAGTTAAAAGTCGATAAAAAAAATCAACAGGAGCTGCAGTGTTGCAGTAGCTAGACTTGTTTTTCGGCGCGAAGTTCTTGAGTTGGAATCCCTGTAGGCATTTAACCAGCTTCTGCCATGTCATCTTTTCCTTTGCTGTATTGTGTAGTTTGCCCCGTGTCCTCCCAACGTCCTCATAGTCTTCTTCACCTCATTGTTGCAGGACATGCCAGAGGAAGCCATAGGACACTGTGGTAAGTTAGTGAGGTTCTATCCTCGCTGCAGACCATCCTAGTGGTGGTGATGCTGGGTTCCCCGTTGTTGCTGATGGTGAAGGGGTTTTCAGCTGCTGAAGATGAGGATGTCGTGACGGCAGAGATAATGCTAGAACTGCTGCCGTTGAATCATAATGAGACTATTGATAATTTTTATGGCGCAATTTCTTGAGGATGTTTATGATGATATTGATTATCATAAGCCAGTGATAGGGATGATAGTGATGTCCCCTGGAGAGACCCATGGGTTATCAGATCTCAACAGCTCCTGAGGAAAACTTCTGCTTAAGCCCTTTCTGTGATACTTAACCAGACACCATGTGACCTTGATTACATTGTCACGTCTGGCTGCTCCAGATTGCACCTGCCATTTCCACCAGCCTCGATAAGGACAGTCCTCTTCTACCCGCTCACTGGCTGTAAACTCTGGCGGAAAGTTCTGGTTGTTCATCCCCCTTTGGACTGCAGTCCTGTTCCAGAGTGTTGTGTGTGCATCCGTTTAACAGATCTGACTCGTTTGTATACAGACTGCTGGTTCCTTGCCCTTCAGGCAGATGCACTCTGACTTCGAAGGAAGTTCCCAGTTAGTCGACTCTTACGACATGCTTTTGAGTAGGCAGTGGGTCTATTCTTGTTTCCCCCTATAATAGAGCCATGGGACCCACACGGGGAGATAAGGATAGTGAGTCCTGCTTGTTGTCGTGATCTTCCTTGCGATATGCAGCTCCTAATGAATTATTAACATCACTCTTGGCCAGAGCCGCTCCGGTCGTTGTAATACACTTGTGTAAACGGACTGTGTTAGGGTGTAGGTTGCAACCATTCGGATTTACAGGACCGAACCAAGATTCATCGATGCTACAGACTTCGTGTTTTCTTCCTTCTTCGCGTTCACTGGCTGTTCATCCACCTCTGGTCTTTTTAGACTTGTTCCAGAACCTGAATGTTGCGTACACACCTGTTTTACTGATCTAACTTATTTCTTTGCAGACTGTTGGTTCATTTCATCTCAGGCGGATGCACTCTGACCGCAAAGGAAACCCCTAGTTAGTCGACACTTACGACATGCTTGTTGGGGAGCCAGTGGATCTATGTTAGTTTTCCCCACTATGGGGCGCTGGAAGCCACACGGGGAGTTCGTGCATTGAGTGGCTTTTTTTTTTTTTTGGCAGGCGGTAGCTGTTTCGTGGACAAATATGGAACCATACGGGATTGAACCCCGGTGCAAGGAGGTCGATTCCCGCGACTTTAACGTTGCATGAGAGTATGATTATAAACTGGTGTGTACATATGTGTGGGCATGCGTGGACATGTTTGTGTGTGTGTGTGTGTGTGTGTGTGTGTGTGTGTGTGTGTGTGTGCCTGCCACACAAGAGAAGTAAATAATATTGATAATATTGTTAACGATGTTAATGAGATGTCTTACAACGGCTGCACTATTGACCAGAAGAAATAAAATCAGGAATGAGGTCATAAGAGATCAAGTCGGCCCAGAACCACTTCTAAATTACCTAACAAAGACAACACATAAGATGGTTTGCATACTTAGGGAGAATGTCCTCTGACGCCATACCATACCATTCAAGGCAAACACGAAAAAAGAAGGAAGAATTAGAACACGAGGTAGACCAAAAATAATATGGGCAGATACCATCAGAGAAACTCTACAACAGCACGATGTGTTTCTGGTCAAGACGGTCAGAAGAGCCACAAGCAGAATCTGATATCTTCCTTGACACTAGAAGCGTGTTTGGGATGTTGGAAGATGATTACGAAGGTAGGAAAGCGGTTCTGATATTGCTGTTGCTGCTCATGATAATGATGATGATGATGATGATGATGATGATGATGATGATGATGATAATGATGATGATGATAATGATGATGGGGACAGTGGTTATGGTTGTGTATTCCCTGTTGTTGCTGATGTTGAGAGGGTTTTCGCTGCTGACGGTGAGGGAGTCGTGTCGACAGAGATAATGACAGCACTGCTGGCCCTGAATTTGAAGATGATCATAATGAGGATATTGATAATGCAGATGGTGCAATTTGATGTTGATGATGATGATGACAATGATGATTTTTATGATCATGATTATTGTGATGATGATAATGGTAGTTTTGTTGATAATGATGCAGATGATGATGGTAATAATGATGATGTTTATGGTAGTAATGATGACGACGATGATTATGGTGATATTGATGATGATAATGATTATAACATTAATGATGATAGTGATTATGATAGAAAGATGACCATGAATATGATTGGGATGATGTTGACCATAATGCTGGTGATGTTGATGGTAATAATTATACTGATGGTGGCAATGAATGAAAACCTTTTGACATGGCAAAGATGGCTTTTGGCGCTGGATTTGATATGAGCTGTTAGAAGACAGAGATTGTAAGATATAGCGAACCGTCAATAGACTTCATTGGTCACCTAACATTCCTATATGTGCGCAGTCCACAGATGCAGCTGGCACCTTAATGTACATCTACCGACTGTTACCATTAGAAGTTTGTTTAAAATATCTCCTATCTTGATTGACTTGACCAGGATTTACACCCAGGTCATGTAATAGGGCTAGCGTCTGAGAATCCTCGCTGTCCACCATTTATTCTAGTCCCAGCAGACAAGTAATTTGGCGACCATACTGATGTGAAAAGTCAGGGTCAGATACTAAGAACTGCTGCTGCTGCTGGTTTCGTCAAATTATTATAACAGATACGAGAACAGACAGCAGCACCTTACTTCCATTGACACAACAAATAGATTAACCCTTCTAATAAGGGTCTACAATTTTCTGCAACTGTACCAGCAGTTAGTTCTTTTCCATTTCTATTTACTGATTCTTTTCCCCCTTTTCAAAACTATAAGATAAATATATGAAGACAGAATACATTGTTTCTGAAACATTTAATTTTAATTTGACTTGATTTGTTTAATGTTTATCTCTTTGCAAATTATGTCAGCATTAATAAAGATGATTCTAATATTCAGAAAATGTGTATGTATGTAT